CATCAGGAAGGTATTTAGGTAGTTTTTGAAGGGGATTTCGGCTAGGGAGGTATCTGAAGCCATCAGGAAGGTATTTAGGTAGTTTTTGAAGGGGATTTCGGCTAGGGAGGTATCTGAAGCCATCAGGAAGGTATTTAGGTAGTTTTTTGAAGGGGATTTCGGCTAGGGGAGGTATCTGAAGCCATCAGGAAGGTATTTAGGTAGTTTTTGAAGGGGATTTCGGCTAGGGGAGGTATCTGAAGCCATCAGGAAGGTATTTAGGTAGTTTTTGAAGGGGATTTCGGCTAGGGGGGTATTGATGGAGGTAGGAAAGGATGTGGTGGAGTGGGATATGTGGGGTAGCCCGAAGGCCAGATGGTTGCAGTCGCGAAGCGACTGTAACCATCTGGTTTTATGATATTCCGATCGTTTTGCCCAGAAATGGTTTTAAAACCTGGACTTTTTGGCCGTCGGGATTTTGACGTTTTGCCGTCGCCGCAACCCACCGGCAATCCATGCACCGCGTCGACAAATTTCTTCCAAAGCCCATCGTCATACACCACATATTCCCAATCGACTCGCATGGCACGGGCGCCGTATATTTCTGTGCATTCGGCCTACGAACCAAAACGCTTTACAGACCTGATCCGTTCGGCCATTTATCTCTGAACTGCAGCACGTCGGTAATGTTGATGATGTTTGCACGGAGATCCGGTTTCCAGGTTCGGCCGGTGATCGCGCCAACCACGCTTACCACACCGACGCGCGAGTTGTTCGCCAGAATGTGTACGGATTCAGTGAAGCGAGTGACTGCTTGTGCCCGCTGCGGTTCACACAGATCTCGATCGAGCCGCAGGCGCCAAAACCAAACCCCACAGGTTGAACCGCTGAAAAACAAATTTGTTGAAACGAATTTGTGCTGGTCAGCAAGCAAATTTTGTTGCCAGCCAAATTTTTTTAGAGCTTAACCAGGGATGAAAAGCCGCTTCGCGACTTTTCAACCCTGGCCCCGTCTAACCCTATGATGATCTTCGTTTTGCATAATTGTGGCCCAATTCCGATGACAAAAAATGAAAAACGCTCCCTTCGGGCCTTTATATAGGCTACTGTAACTTCCGGCGTATGCTAATTTTATCCTAACAAAGTGGGTGTCGGAATTTTTAAGAAACACTTAATTTTAATGTAGAAAACAACATATTTTACGAAATCGGCTATGTGTGCAGTCATCTCCAGCCCATTACGCATCTAATGACGTATCAAACACCTCATCAAACCCATCCCCTCTCGAGATATCCTCCGCACACCCTGACGGAAGTTGAATGCAAAGTGGCACACACACAAACACTATTTTTTTTATATATAGTAGGATCTACTATATCTAAATTTCTAATGTCCGTACGTCCGACCGACCGGGAATTCAGCCGAATTTTGCATTCAAATTACAAATTCCATTTGTAGGGGTGGGAGAAGGCCAGCGCTGAACCCCCGCGCAGCGGGGGGTCAGCGCTGGTTCAATTTAAATTGATACTATTTTTACGGTTTTGATTCAACAAGGTTTAAATAAAATTACGAAAGTTTGAGAAACGTTGACTTTTTGGTCAAACACACAAACAAGTGGTCAAAAGAAAGACGTCCGCAATTATGTCCAATTTTTACGATTCAGTTATCTATCGAAAGCTCTCATCGAACTGCCTAGATGTGTTTACGCCCATTTTTGAAAATCCCCAATTTCCCGAAAATTGAGCTAAAAATTCGGAGATTTCTAAGGTCGTAAATAACACATCTCCTCAGCTCGTTGGAGAGCGTTCGATAGATGTCCAAATCGTCAAGATCGGCCACAAATTCGGTCGGTTAGAGGGGCGGGTATCATTATTTGGGTCGCCCTATCATACTATATATAAAAAATAGTGTCTGTGTGCGTGTGTACCACTTTGTTCCAGTCTATCTCAACAAGGGTAGAAATCTAAGGAGCGTATGATACGTCATTAGGTGCGTAATGGTCTTGAGATGACTGCACACCTATCCTAACTTTCAAATTAGCCATTTTCGATATTATATTTCAGTTACTGTGAAACCTTCTTTGTTAGGAAATAATTAGCATGGACCGGAAGTGAAGATTCGACTATATAAAGGGACAAGATAGGCTGTTTTCCATTTTTTTCCACCTGAATTTAGGACAATTATGCAAAGTGCAGGATAAAACGGGGTCAGACGGGAGCCAGGGTTGAAAAGCCGTTTCGCGACTTTTCAACCCTGGTATTTCCATGATAAGCAGCTATCTGGCCTACCGGGATTCCGGAGGAAAAGCAACAGCCAATGTCCAGTCGTTGCTGGGGAACCGCTTCCCAAACGCGAACTCGCTTAATTGGCCATTTAAGGAAAAATTAGCTAGCCTACCAATACTCGTTCTCTGCGATCCCACCGATCAAGTTCAAATACTCCCAATATTTGGGAACCGCAGTGATGAAGGCCTGTAATGGATGAGGCTAAAGTCTTGTTTACCCCTTCCCCCCAGACTCATCTCGACTTCCATCCTCTTCCTCTAACTCGACGAGGAAGTATCGGATGGGAATGATAGTTACACCATTCGAAAGCCCTTGCAACGGCGGGTTTGCAACAATCTTAAAACTATTTTTTATTTGATGGCACCATTTTACAACGTATTTAAAAACATTAAGGAACGGCTTCTGCACCTAATTAACGGCTACTTCCGGTCATTTTGTATGGAGAACTTGAGGCAAATTAGCTCGTATGCAACCCCGAAAAATTGGAAAATCTTGCAAAATGGCTTGTAAAACAGCAGGTGTAAATAAAAACATGGTTTTGAAGCATGTTGCAAACTCGCCGTTTCAAGGGCTTTCGAATGGTGTAAATATAAAAAAATAAATATAAATAATGCAAATATCATTCCAGTCCGATACTTCTGCGTCAAGTTAGATGGCGGTGTTTTTTATTGGGACACCCTGTACAGGGTGTTCAAATAAAGAAGGTCGCCCTGGCATTTCGCCATTTAAACCAGATCGACTTGAAATTTTGAACAGAGGTGCGGCAGGGAATTTCAAATGTTGACAGAAACTTTGAGCCCGATCGGTACAGTAGCTTTCGAGCTTTCACACAAAAATTTCTAGCACCTTTTTTGGCAAGATCACAGCTTTTTCGCTAGCGAAACGCCGCCCTCCAAAATCACCTTGAAAAGCGGGGCAGCATACGCCATTTCAAGCATCTCGGTCGGTCCCATAAAAGCAACGATATGCATTTGAACTTCGACGGGAAGCCGTAGCAGCTGCTCGACGGATAGGTAGCTGGCCCGGGGTACGTTCGCGGGTTTTGTAGCCGGAGCTTCTGACCCAGCCGCTGTCTCAGGCTCGATGACGATCGAATTGCTGGCGCAGGGTTTGAGGGTCGTTGCGCATTTCACGTCATCCTGAAGAAGAATTGATGCGGTTATTGGGAACCGGTGAGGAGTTCAGTTTACCCCCCAGCCGGCACCCAACTTTTGTATCACGGCTCCCTGTTCATCTACAGGACCGTAAAGCATACCAAAATGTTCGTCTTGCTCTGGCGAGTATTTTGGTATACTTGGCACACCTTTAGATGAACAGGGAGCCGAGATACGGTAGGTGAGTGCCGACTGTGGCGGTGTGTGGGGTGAGGGGGGGGGGGGTAAACTGAACCACAGCCCAAATTGGATAGCAAGAAAACCTGTGTTCCCGGATCTCCGCCCCGCCAGCCGCACTAAATGTTTATTATTAGGCTCTGCCAAAAATGTGGCTTCAAAAATTTGACGTAAAGGACTACCAGAGTCGAGCATAATCGGGCAAAAAATCCGAGCATTGCCGATGCGAGGCGGCCGCTGCCGCCTTTGTGTACAATTTTAGTGCCAAGCTCGGTATGCCGGATGTCTTGCAATGCAACTTCACATTCAAATCGGCTATGTGTAATCATTCGACAAATTTGATAGACGGGTTTCAACTTTTTCACTTCCGTTTCACTAGGAAAAAAAACATAAATTTACAGATCATACAGGGTGTCCCAAAAAAACAGCCCATCTGGCATTTCGCCGGGTTACATCCAATTGGTCCCATATTTGGACCAGAGGTGTATCAGACCCTAAATAACAACAGTCCTCACTCATAGCCCGGTAGCTACAGTAGTTCTCGAGTTATAACAAAAATACTGTTTTTCCCGGAATTCTGAACAGTTTTATAGGCTATCTTTTTGGACTTTGCGTCGATTTGCATCGACTTCCGGCTGCGAATCCCTAATTTCGCTTAAGAACTTGGGTAATTTTGTGTTGTAAAAATCGCTTAATTCAACGATTATTTGATTAATTCTGGTCCGGAAAAAATTTCTTCAGGTAAAGAAGGCCTACCGAGTCATTTTCGCTTAATGTTTAGGGGGTCTAATGCCACGAAAACCCTATGAAAAATAGAAAATAAAGTTTGTTTTTGTTATAACTCGAGAACTACTGTAGCTACCGGGCTATAAGTCAGGATTGTTGTTATTTAGGGTCTGATACACCTTTGGTCCAACCGATTGGATGTAACACGGCGAAATGCCAGATGGGTCGTTTTTTTTGGGACACCCTGTATATCGTTGCCATTCTTCGCGCGGAACCACAATTCGCTCAGCGAGAGAGACGAGAGAGATGGAGGGAGAGAGGGAGTGAGAGAGAGAGCGAGGCAGAAAGAGAGAAAGAGAGAGAGAGAGAGAGAGAGAGAGAGAGAGAGAGAGAAAGAGAGAGGCGAGAGACAGCGAGAGAGAGAGAGAGAAAAAGAGAGAGAGCGAGAGACAGCGAGAGAGCGAGAGAGAGACGAGTCTGAGACCTAGTCTTAGCCCAAGAGCGATCAATTTCATGTATCTTTCTCGGATGAACCACATGTAATGCTTTATTCTCTATAAAAAACGGCACAGGAAAGCAAATGTACATGAAAACGGGGCCAATAAGCGGGCGGAAAAAGAGCCGGATTGTTCCCTCTATCTCGTCCCTCGTCATCGTCATCTATCTCGTCGTCTCCTTAATCGTCCCAGCCAAGGAAATGATGGGCTTCTCCGGTCCTGTACGATTCGAGCAATCTCCAGACGCGCTGCTGGGTGCGGAACCATTCCTAAAGAATCATAATAAGCCGGGGATTAGGTTATAGAATGTTGTTGTAAGGGGTAGCCGGGCGCTACACTGCAGCAATTCCCCTATGCCGCCAATTTCCATAAAGCCTTACCCAATCATAATCGAAGCACAGCGACGCGCAGATGGTCTAAAGAACGGCTGATTTTGCTTGTCGGGGAGAGTTCCTACGAAATCGCAGACGGCTACGCGGCGCGGCAAAGCACCATATTCGTGGAGGTAATTGCGCGCCTCCCTTTCCAATCGCATTCTCTCGTTTAGAGTATACTGAAAGACACTGTTGAGAAACGTCAGGATTGGGAGAGCGTGTGAAAGGAAGAGAGAGAGAGAGAGAGAGAGAGAGAGAGATGGAGAGAGAGAGAGAGGGAGGGAGAGAGAGAGACCGACGGAGAACGAAACCTCCGACCTCGTCGCATCTACTACAGCACCACACTTCCTCGTATGCTTCTAGGAGCGTAGCGTAGGCCTTGGAGTGCAGCAGACTTTCTCCAAACCTCCGCTCCCTACAAATAACTTACATAACCCGTTAATTCAGAGCTTCAAAGGCCCCACCCCGTTAGCGTGCAATCCCGGTATGTTAGACATACGCGTTCTTTGGTAAGACATTCTTTTTTGATTCTACATTATTTTGGGCTGTAATTAAAAACGTTTAGTAGACTTTTTGATGCTCTATCGAATGACTTAGCCAAAAACCTGAGATAATAGCGGAAATGTCAAAAAATTTTTGAAACCCTCGGCTACGGGCGGTAAAGTAAAGCGGTGCTTCCAGGTTATCGGGGGTCGGTTATTTTAGCGGGGGTCGGTTAGCATCCTCTTTTTGTTTAGCCTATACCTGCCTAGTGATAAATTGTAGTTTATTTTAATACTGTTTTTAGTAGCTTCCGATAATCAAAAATTATAAAAATATTTATCCTATAGTCACGAAATCTAGGGTTATAGCGCGGTTTTAGCCATTTTCATATGCGTTAGACCGAAAAAGAAAATTTTTTTCAACATGTTTTATGACGTTTTTCTTAATGTCTCCTCCCCCGATAACAGCCCAGAACCATTTCAAACGGCGCACCAGTCTATAAAAACGGCCAGTTTTTAATGAGCCGAGCCGCACGATATTATAGAAAAAAGTTCGCAACCGACCCCCGCTAAAATAACCGACCCCCCGATAACCTGGAAGCACCAGTAAAGCTAAGCCCGTTTTTCTTTGCGTGCATACCGTCTCTCCCGATAGTCACAACGGCACAGCGCGAAAAGACTGGGCTGCACGCTGATCACAAGCCCGTCACGGCTCTAGAATGGTGGGTTCAATGCGTCCGGGTTGTCTTAACTACCGTCTCGTTGCGCCGGATCAGCCACGTGCTGCAAAAACAAATCGTAATTCCGGTGAGCAGGGTCACTGCTAAGTACCTGGCGCAAATCTTGAAGCAACCCGGCAACCCGTCAGCCAAATCTGCCACAAGATAGGGCAACCCTAAAATAGCGACCGTAGCATTCGAATACAGGGTGTCCCAAAAAAGGCGCCCCCAAAATTTGAGCCAGCGGGGACCTATGGAGCTAAAAATTTGCACAGAGGTAGCGAAGGCAATTTTCTATGAAAAAGGAAACTTTCAGCCCGATCGGTCAGCGGGTTTTAAAGTTATAGCGAAAATATATTTCATTTTTATTTTAATATGGGGATCTATGCAATTTGCATCAAAAATATGCGTTATTCTTGCATTTACGAGCCGATTTTGCATAAATTTCGCTGAAAAGTGCCATTTCCTTGCTGGTGTCGAAAGTAATAGTCCCTCTGCGCCAAATCCTCTACTATAAAGATCACGGAGGAGGCTAGAGTTGCCACACTATCACCTTGGACTTTGCCCCTTGGGCCCCGCTCGGACAACCCTGCATCCGGATAGAACACGGACCGGGAGATGGCAAGGGATCCCAAGAGGCTATACAAGCAGTAATGTTCAGTGGTAGTTTCTACAATCGTGTAATAGAATCCAATGCATTTCGGTATAAGGATACAAAAGGTATACACAAAGTTTATCGGCATGTAAACCATTAGAATACGAGCACACTCATCGATGGATGGAAAGGGCAAGGTAAAGTGCTGGTCTAACTCGCTGGTCTTAGGCAAAAGATGCTGGGCGTAAGGCAAAAGGTAGCTGGTCTTCTGCTAACGCAATACCCGCACAGACCTGGTCGTAAACCCTAGAGAAAAACGTAAATCGTCTGTTCGGAATAATCACGAAAGCCGCCCGGCCCCCTCTCTCCGAGGGGGCCTCGCGCTACGGTAACGTACAGGTTTTAGCAAACCATCGAACGTTGCAGCATAATGCTCGCAACTTTCGACAGCTGGAGCTTTTGGAAAACGATTGCGTATGAAGAATAAAAAGAGCGTTAAAACAACTGTTTTATCGATCCAATTCACGTGTTATTTTTCGAAATTTTTCGAAATGGAATCTTTCCGCAAAATTTATGCAAAATCGGCTCGTAAATGCAAATATAACGCATATCTGTGATGCAAATTTCAAAGAGCCCCATATTAAATTAAGAATGAAAAGTATTTTCGCTATAACTTTAAAACCCGCAAGCCGATCGGGCTGAAACTTTCCTTGTTCATAGAAAATTGGCTTCGCTACCTCTGTGCAAATTTTTAGCTCCATAGGTCCCCTCTGGCTCAAATTTTTTGGGGGGGTCTTTTTGGGACACCCTGTACTTCTTTCCAGCATACCCGTGCTTAGAAACGGCGAGGCCCAAGAGCGTTTCCATGTGTGGGCCAAGATGAGGATGCGGTCGATCTCACGCTCGCCGTTCAGCCATTCCTACATGGCAAAGGAGAGTGGAACGTAGGCGTAAGCTCATAAGTCGTGTACGTGAATGAGATTGGACTATTCGACTATTCGACGTAAAGCAATGAGAATTCGCGGGGGGGGGGAACCGAATTTTTTTGGCCCATGTCTAGAATCATCAACTATAATAATTTTGCTGTGGTCTTCGTCCGTCTGTCCGAAGCCGAATCCAACTCGAAGGAGAAAGAGCTAGAGCTTAGTTAGCTCTCTTCGGATTCGGATAGAGCGTGATCAGAAACCCCCAAACTGATAAAAAAAACGTATGAAAAAGTTTTAGTTTAAACCAGGGTTGAAAAGCCGCTTCGCGCCTTTTCAACCCTGGCCCCCGTCTAGCGTCATAATATGCTTCATTTTGCATAATTCTCGTGAATTCCGATGACAAAAAAATGAAAATCTCTCCCTCCGCCCACTATATAGGCGCGCGCCATTTCCGGCATATGCTAATTGATTCCTAACAAAGTGGGTGCTCCATTTTCTAACAAAAACTTAATTTTAACGTCGAAAATAGCATGATTTGCAAAATCTGATGTGTGTGCAGTCATCTCAGCGCCATTACGCACCTAATGACGTATCATACGTTGCTTAAAACCCTTTCCCTCTCGAGATATCCTCCGGACACCCTGACGGAAGTTGCATGCAAAGTGGCACACACACACAAACACTATTTTTTATATATAGTAGGATTATTAAAATTAACTTGGAAAGTTTTTTCTTAGTAAAAGGGGTGGGGGACGGAGGTTGGGGTGATTTTGGAGATAGTGAGCCAGGTGGCGCGCGTTTCGTGGATGAAAATTTTTACGGGAGCCATTTTATTTCTTTTTTTTCTCCACGTATCCGGTCGGTCGTTATTTTTGTTTTTTAAGGGGATTTCAGCCATGGGAGGTATCTGAAGTCATCGGGAAAGTATTTAGGTAGTTTTTGATGGGGATTTCAGCCATGGGGGGTATCTGAAGCCATCGGGAAGGTAATTAGGTAGTTTTTGAACGGGATTTCGGCTATCGGGGGTATTGTTGGAGGTGGGAAAGGATGTGGTGGAGTGGGACATGTAGGGTAGCCCGAAGGCCGTATTATCATGCAACGGCCGGCCACGGCCGGCTCGTATGCAAATTAAAAGCCTACCGGCCGGCCGCGCCGTAGGGCAGTCTGGGAACGGCCCAACGGCCGGCCTCGGCCGGCCGTTTTGCCATGTCTGAAAAAAGCTAGAAAAACTTAGAAAATGCTTGAAAAATCGGAAATTTGGCCTTTTTTGGGTCCTCCCCCCGCGAATCTTACAAGCTCTTTAGGATTTTTCGACCTAAATTAAATTTTTAGTTAAATTTAAGTAGTTTTTATACTGAGGAATAGCTAAAAACCATTTAGAAACGCATCCGCTAGTCTTAAAAAAACTTAGGCCAGCGCCGAAAAAAATTCGGTCCCCCCCCGTGATTCTTTTCATCCGCGAATCCTAAAGAACCTTCACCGCTCATGTGCTAATAAAATTGGTATAAAGGAGAATTGTATCATAAGCGAAAACATGACAATTTGAATACGTTTTTCAACTAATAAGCTACCGTAATCATTTGACGAAAAAAGATGACGACCAGCGATGGGGATTCACACACGGTGCTGGGCGGACTGTGGTACGACCCTCGCTCATCTGTAAGTTTCGGTATTTGATGTATGATAAATGGCCCCGGATCGGCGCTTTGACGCCGAACCGCAGTCCTGGTAAAAAAACTCTAAGACAGGATTTGCTAACGAAGGCTGGCTGTTGTGCGGAAGCCATCAGACGTTTCTCCGCGGATGGGGAGAAGCTTCTGACGGCATCCGCGCAACACCCGGGAGCTGAAAAAACATGCCCGGGGGCAGTGCGTAGAAGATCGTCATTGTCTGTACTTTCAACATGGGCAATTCGGGAAGCAGAGTTATCCCGTCTGGTAGACGAAGGCTCAGTGCCTTGACCTGCTGAAAGAACGAAAATCTGTGTTACGAAATTTGTTAACAAAATAACTAATTTTCCCGTAACCCCGTACGACGCGTAAAATACGTTGCGCCTTATATAGATCATTTTGATTGCACTTCACACAGTTTTATAAAATTCATATAAAAAGTGCGAAAGATTCATTCTTTTGCTCAAAAATAGATGCAACATTGGCAGCACTTTTTCACTTGTTAAGAATTTTTCACATTTTTTTTTGTAACTTGCCAGCATTGAAAAAGTGAAAAACGCCATAAAATACATTAAATATTAATTAGCGCAAAATAAAAGGCATCCCCAGCCGCTGTCGCAAATAGACTCAATGGTGCTTCCAGACTATCGGGGGTCGGTTATTTTAGCGGGGGTCGGTTGCGAACTTTTTTCTATAATATCGTGCGCCTCGGCTAATTAAAAACTGGCCGTTTTTATAGACTGGTGCGCCGTTTGAAATGGTTCTGGGC